CCTCGCTTAGATGACATGTTAGACATTATGAAGGGAGCAACCCTTTTCTCAAAGATAGACCTAAATAGTGGATATCATCAGATTAGGATCTGACCTGGGGACGAATGGAAGATGGCATTTAAGACTAAAGATGGACTGTATGAATGGATGGTTATGCCGTTTGGTCTCAGCAACGCCCCTAGTACTTTTATGAGAGTAATGACCCAAGTCCTTCGCCCATTCCTTGGAAAATTCGTTGTAGTCTACTTTGACGACATTCTAATCTATAGCAGTTCGGTGGATCAACATCTAAACCATTTAGGCCAAATTTGTGAGGTTTTGAGAAAGGAGCAACTCTATGGTAAGCCCAAGAAATGTATGTTCCTCACAACTAGCATCACCTTTCTAGGGTTTATAATATCATCACAAGGAATTTCAGCTGATCCCGAGAAGGTACGAGCAATCAACAAGTGGCCTGAACCTAAGACTATCAGAGATGTTTGGAGTTTCCATGGATTGGCGACATTCTATAGGAGGTTTATTAGGAACTTTAGCACAATAGTGGCACCCATAACCGACTGCCTCAAGAAAGGAGATTTTCAATGGGCTGTGTCTGCCTCTAAGGCCATCGAGGAGATAAAGAGGAGAATGGTAGAAGCTCCAGTTATGCGTCTACCCAATTTTTCAAAAGTTTTTGAAGTAACTTGCGATGCATCTGAGATTGGTATAGGAGTTCTATCACAAGAGGGACATCCCATCGCGTATTTTAGTGAGAAGTTGAATGACATCCGACAACGGTACTCTACCTATGATAAGGAGTTTTATGCTATCATTCAATCCCTTAGGTATTGGAGACACTATTTACTGTCCCAAGAGTTTGTCATCTTCTCTGATCACGAAGCCCTGCGTTACATAAATTCACAAAAGAAACTCAATGCACGACATGGTCACTGGGTTGAATTTCATCAAGAATATGCCTACACCATCCGACACAAAGCCCGAGCTGACAACAAAGCGGCAGACACCCTAAGCCGTCGGATGTTGATAACCCGAGAAATAAGAACTGAAGTGATTGGATTCAAGCGTCTTAAAAAAGACTATAATGTCTGCCCTGATTTTAGTGAGATTTATTCTTGTTTGACTTCCGGACGTGAGTGTACAATCGATGATTTCTTAGTAGAATATAGATACCTATTTAAGGCCCAAAAGATCTATATTCCCCAAACGTCTCTTCGTGAATACCTTTTCTGGGAATTACACGCAGGAGGTTCAGCTGGCCACTTTGGACAATCCAAGACTATTGCCACATTAGAAAATCGATTCTATTGGCCCAGCCTTTTAAGCGTGACGTTAGTAAACTTTTAAGGATGTGTCACGCCTGCTAGCTTGTCAAACAACGCAAGCAGAACACGGGGCTCTACACTCCACTCCTTGTACGCAATTTCCCTTGGCAAGATGTAAGTATGGATTTTGTCCTGGGTTTTCCCAAGATTGTTAGGAAGCACGATTTTGTCTGTGTGGTTGTTGACCGGTTCTAAAAAATGGCCAATTTCCTCCCATGTTCTAAAACTTTTGATGCCTCTCGGATCGCTAAGCCTTACTTTGACGAAATAGTAAGACTTCATGGTCTACCAAAAACCATCGTTTCCGATAGAGATGTTAAGTTTACGAGCTACTTTTGGAAAACTCAGTGGCACAAGATGGGTACGAAACTTCAGTTTTCTATAGCCTTCCACCCCCAGATCGATGGTTAAATCGAGGTTGTTAACAGGAGCTTAGGAAACCTCTTAAGGACCTTTGTAGGGGAAAACCTTAGAGATTGGGATTCTAAGTTACCCATTGTTGAGTTTGCTTATAACAATTCTGTCAACCGAACCACATTTCTGAGCCCAACTGAAATTGTGTACGAATACCAACCTAGGCAACCTATAGATTTAATTTTCATGGGTCATAAGTCTAGAGCATCTGAGTCTGCATATGCATTTGCATTGCATTTATAAGAATTGCACAAAGAAATTAATAAAAAAGATTGAACAAAGTAATGCTAACTATGAACACAATGCGGACCTCAAGAGATGATTTAAAGAATTTGAAGTGAGAGACTTTGTGATGGTTCGGATTCATCCAAAGCGATTCTCGCAAGGGATCATCAAGAAATTACATGCAAGAAGCGCAGAACCTTTCAAAATAACATTCAAAATAAATAGTGATGCTTATGTGCTAGACCTTCCCGAGAGTTTTAACATTAATCCTACGTTTAACATTGAAGATCTTGTAGCCTATAAGGGTCCAGAGTTTAACCCCACTAATCCACTACATACTGAGCATTGTGTGACCCCACCTGGTGAGAACCCCATCCTACCTCCACTCCCAAACATTCCCACTTTACCTACTACGGAGAAGATTGAAGAAATACTTAGCGACTAAATCATTTCCACTAAAAACGGTGGTCGCCAAAGGTATCTAGTTCAATGGGCAGGGAAACCGGAGACGGAGAACGTGTGGATCGACCGGGACGAGCTGCAGAGATTGGACCCTGACCTACTGGAGTGGTACGAGACTTCTAGAGATGCTTACTCAACGGGGTTGAGCTTTCTCCCACCTGGGGAGAATGATGAGGACATCAAGTTTCGACATGTGTACCGTCGTTGGCGACGCAGATAGACGACTACGATCCAAAACTTCTATTTTTGATTTATTTTGTATTTTATTTGTTCTCGCATTTTATTTTCCTAGTTTACCCTTGTAGGTATTGAGTTGCTATTGTAGCCCCAAGGGCATTTGTGTCTTTCTAGTTTTGTTTCATTTCGGCCTATTTATAGGAGGCCTCTTGCATTGTACTAGTTGATGAATTGTTGAATGAAAATTTGATGCTCTTTGTTTGATCTCTTAGTGAGTTCATGAGAGGAGAGACCTGAGGAGGGTAATGGCTAGACCCGTCAACCGTTGGTGGATTCCAAGGTTCGCGGCCCCGATATCTTCTTCTTCCCTAACTCCAACTCCTTCTCATCACCCATCACCCATCATCCGCCTGCCTCCCTCCAACCCCACATCCCTTCTGCTTTCCAAAACTGAGCCCCCCACCCCATCTCGCCTTCCCCCCTTGGACGCCCCACCCACTGGCCAAACCCACTAGCCGCCGGCCTCCCCTCCTCCGCCCCACCTCCCTATCGCCCCCAAGTCAACCCGCCGGCCAACCTGTTCCCATGGTTTGAAATTCAAATTCATGTGCATCAATTGTCTTTCCTAATTTACATCCTAAGCAATTAGGAAAGTTTCCCCTTTTACTAATTCAATTAATTGATTGAAATCCAACATTTCTTAGTGCTTTAGACCACTTAGGAAACTTTCTAAGTAATATCAAATCTGAAATCAAATTTCAGATTTGATTTAACCTTTGTTTATTCTCTTGGGGGCCCACCAACTTAACATTAATTACTCTCTCTCAGCTCTCCCTATGGTCGGCCCCTCTCCATGATCTTTCTCTGTTCAATTTCATTAATAGCCTCTCATTAAGCCTCCCTAATTACCTCCCATAATTCCCTCACATCCAATTTAATTCTCTCAATTAAAATTTGAATTTAAATTCAAATTCATCCCGCCAATTCCACTTAATCTGAAAATTAATTTCAGATTTCTAAACCTTACACCAAATCCTAATTAGCTCTAGCCGCCACCTTCTCCAGCTCCTCCCACCCGAGCCCCCACCTCTCCCCTCTTCTCCTTGGCAGCTCCTCTCAAGTGGCGGCTTCCCCCTTCACCGCAACACCACTACACACGGCAAGAATCTCCCATGATCATGTATGGCCGATCCAGAGCGTGACCACGGATTTGCATTCGACTATCAAGGGAACATTGACATCATCCGATCGCCGTTCTTCGACATTGGATTCGGATTCGACTACACCATTGAAGGATACTTAAACCGTATTCTTCCCCATCTCGTGGACGTCCTCGACGAGCAGCTACCGGCAGACGAGTGGACAATCACTGGGCGCCCACCCGCTTCTCCAACTCCAGCTCCTTCCCCGGCGGCTAGTACCCTCGGCATCACTTGTTTATTAGTGGCATCCTTAAGTTTGTGTTCAATCCTCTTCCGCTAAGCCGAGCGTCATCAAGAGCGTATGTGAGGGACTCCGAGGTGAATGATCTAGATCTTAAACAGTGGATTTTTGTTAAGCGCCATGTGTTTTATTATTTATTTGTTGGTGTAATTTTGCTAGTCTCCTGATGCTTTTAATTGTAATCAATTAACATCACGAATTCTTCCGTTGAAATTTTCTGACGATCTACCTTGATACGCATCCGTTTATACTTAGCTACGCAAAATTCACAAATTATTAATTTTTACAAGCAATTCTTGCATCGTATTACATCAGTTTACTTTGTATCTCATTTCAAAATTATATTTTAACATTTAATATTGAAATTTGTAGTTTATATCTTTATATATTGATGTTTTATTTTGCTTTTGTCATTTTTATGAATTATTTGTAAGTTCATGTGTTTTTATTTTTCTTTTTTGAGGCTTATACCTTGATCTTTCTCGAAGCTTACACCTCGCCTCACTTAGACAAAATATCTTGATTCTCGATTTCAGTTTTTAAACTTGATGTGGAGCTTTTTAACTTCTTGTTAATTGCAGGCTTTTGGCCCATTATTAAGGTTTCATATTTTGTCTTGATTAAGAACCAAGTTATAATTTTCCTTCATTTTGACAGTTCAAGCATGCTGCATTGTCTTTTTCGGTCTCTTTTGTTGTCTTCTGGAATTTTTCTGCATGTATTTGAACAAGCAAGATTTGAAACCAGATGAGATGAAAGGTTTTGAAAAGAATTAGTGGCTTTATGATCTCCTTTTGTAAATTCCCTTGATATGTGACAGATTATGCAGAAAGATCTGAGGAAATTACTAGTCAAACTAACCGTAGAATTCTCGGCTGTTGATTAGAACTTTTTGCATCTTTTAGTAGGTAAAACATTATGGTTTTCTGTATATATAATATGGTTTTTTATTTGCAGGAATTCTTTGCCGATTTTTGTGCCATAGACCCTTACCATTTCACCTTGAATTTGCACATTAATCACATGTATATGATCCCAGCAGTTATAGACCCCCCAAGTTCACAAAACTTCTGTGATCGCATCGTGGATGGTATTGCTGCAGTTTTCCTAGCACTTAAGCGCCGACCTGTCATTCGATATCAACGAACTTCAGATGTTGCAAAGAAGATTGCACAAGAAACTGCTGTGAGTATTAATTACGAAGATCATAAAAATTAAATTTACGCATTGAAGTTGTTTACTCTTGTAAGTTTTCTCAGTATGATTGTTCCTTGCTTCATTTACTCCATTCTGCTCATGATTAGTATCATTTTTCTTTTAATAAATCACTTAAAGCTCTATTTTGTTTGAACTAAATTCTGCAGAAACTTATGTATGAGCAAGAAAGTGGCCTGTTTGATTTCAGGCGTACAGAAACTTCTCCATTATTACTTGTCATTGATAGAAGAGACGATCCAGTTACACCTCTGCTGACCCAATGGACATATCAAGTAGTGTGACTATATTTCTTTGTTTTATATTTTATTCTTCAGATTTTTTTTTTCCACAACAACAACAACATCAAGCGTTTGTCCCACTACGTGGGGTCAGCTAGATTTTTTTTTCCCGTAAATCTTTTTTTATTAAAAACTACTATAACAACATTAAGCCTTTATCCCATGTGGGATTGACCATATAAATCATTTTTATCCATTGCCCCCTATTAAGAATCAAATTCTCATTCAAATTGAAATTTAATGAAAAAGATGTCATTTCTACTAACCAATATAGGCCAAATCCAATACATCTACTGTCCTAACTTGGTTGTCGGAAGGCCGAGGTTTCATATCCAAACCAACTAAGATGATTCTCTCTAATGTTATTTGCCACTATAGCTACTCCAACCTTCTCACATATTTACTCGTTTCATATTCTGTCTCTAAGAGTGAAGTTGTTATGAAACAAGTGCAGGAATCACTCAAATAGTGGCTAAAATTGAGAATTCAGCAAGAACACAGCAGTTTTTGAAAAAATCTCTTGACAAAACAATAGGAAAACTTGATAATTGAAGAAAAGTGGAAGGAAATAAGCAAGATACAAAGGATCTTCAATTCGAGAGGAAGATCCGGCTCTCCAATTCTCTAACCGACAGTTAGAACCCAAAACCTAAGAAGAAATACAGAAAAAACCAAACAATTGCATAACCCCTACCCTAATCCCTTCCCTCCTATTAGAGAATACAAAATAAGAGCCAAAAGGCTAAGCAACCCTCCCATGATTAATTTTCCCTCCTAAATGACACCCCCTCATTTGCATTGGCCATTAATTCATGGGTCCCACAAGGGGGCTAGCTCCCCCCTTCTTCTGTCTGGAATATACCAGGTGCTGGTCCTCTTGGGCCGGCTGAATTGGTCCAATATGGACCGGTCTATCAATACACCCTCCCAAAGAATCACCTTGTCCTCAAGGTGGAAGGATGGGAATTGGTGTTTCAGTCGCTCAAAGTTTCCCAAGTAGCATCGTACTCAGATAGATCTTTCCACTTGATCAACACTTTTTTACTTCCTCTCTCCCCTTGACGAACTCCAACGATTCCAGAGCCACCTCCAAGTCCTCTGTTAGCATCACTGGTAGCTCTGCAGTTGAAGTGTGATCATCTATAGCTCTCCTCAACTGTGAGATGTGGAAGACCGGATGTATGGTCATTGTCAGTGGTAGCTTCAATCAATAAGTCACGACCCTTTCCCTCTCCACTATCTCAAAACAGCCAAAGTACCTCGGAGCCAACTTCTCATTCCTCCTGCTAGCCACGACCCTCTATCTGGAAGGATGAATCTTCAAATAAATCCTATCCCCTACCTTGAATTGAATTGCCTTCCTGTGCTCATCAGTTTGTCTCTTCATAATTTGTTGGGCCCTCAACAAATGTCTTTTCAGTTCCTCTAATATCTTGTCCTTCTCCTCTAAGTATTGCCTTGGTGAAAAGACTGATGTGCTGCCTTGCTCAATATTTACCAAGTTTGGCGGATCCCAACCATACAACACTTTGAAGGAGTCATCTAGGATGATGAAAGGTACGAAGTGTTGCTCCAATATTCTGCCAATGCCAGCCACTTTGCCGACAACCAAGGTGTCTCTAAAGCAAAACACCTCAGATATGTCTCCACGCTCCTATTGATCATCTCTGTTTGCTCATCAGTTTGAGGGTGGTAAGCGGTGCTCCTCTTCAGCACAATCCCCTGTAGTCTGAACAGCTCTCTCCAAAAATAACTTAGGAACACCTTGTCTCGATCAGACACTATAGACTATGGTATCATATGCAACCTGACCACGTCTCTAATAAAAGCTAATGCCACAGTTACTACGGTGTAAGGATGTTAGAGAGGAATGAAATATGCATATTTGCTCAGTCTGTTCACTTCCATCAGAATAACTATAAACCCCTTAGATCTTGGTAGCTCGTCTATGGAATCCATGGAACCTCCTCCCATACTCTACCTGGGAGTGCCAATGGCTGTAGTAGCCCCCCTGGAGTCATTGCTATATACTTGTTCCTCTAACACACTTCACACCTGGCCATCATTTCCTCTACATCCTTATGCATCCCCTTCCAGTACAGTTCAGCAGCCAATCTTCTATATGTCTTTTGGACACCGAAGTGGCCCCCAATCGCGCTCCTATGAAACTCTTGCAGCAAGAGGAGAATATGAGCTGAGGTTTGTAGCAGCATAAACCTCCCCTGATATAGAAGCCTTTCCTCATCTACTGAATAACCTGGGTGGCTACTACCATCCTTCAGCAGATCCTCTCTGATCTTTCTCAACTCTTGGTTTTGTGCACTCTCTTCCTTGATAGTCTTCCAATCCAACATGAGCGGCACTGAAATGGCTACCCCACACACCTAGATAAAGCATCCGCCACCTTGTTTTCAAACCCGCGCTTATACTGTATCTCAAAATCATATACCAAAAATTTTGATAGCCACCTCTGATACTCCTCGGTCACCATTCTCTACTCAAGCAAGTATTTCGAGCTCCACTGGTCCTAACTATGAAGTGTGTTCCTAGCAAGTATATCCGCCACTTCTTAATAGCCACTACGAATGTCTACCTTAAATCTGGTAGTGCTAGGACTGGTACTGTAGTTTTGACCATCTTCAACCTCTCAAAAGCCTGAGTAGCAGCCTCACCCCACAAAAAGTTGTCTTTCTTTAACTGCTCTGTTAGAGGCCAAGCAATGGTGCTGTGCCCCCTCACGAACCTCCTGTAGTATCCTGTCAATCCTATAAATCCTCTTAACTCCCCCATATTCCTAGGTAGAGGCCACTTCAACATTGCCTTGATTTTTGCCTTCCTAGCAGCCACCCCTTCTTGGGATATAATGTTCCCAAGCACTCCACGCTCGCCTAAGCAAAACAACACTTCTTCAAGTTGGCCCTCAACTGATGCTTCTATAAAATATCCAAGACCATCCTTAGATGCTCCAAATGCTCATTACTAGACTTGTTATACACCAATATATCTTCAAAGAAAACCAAGACAAACCTCCAGAGGTAAGGTCGAAACTTCTTGTTCATGAGGGGTTGGAAGGTAGCCGGGGTGTTGGTGAGACCAAACGACATCACGAAGAACTCATATTATCCCTCGTGTGTCCTAAAAGCCGTCCCTGGAATATCTCCCTCTCTCATCCGGATCTGATGGTATCCGGACTTCAGGTTCATCTTTGTGAACACCGCCGCTCCACAAAGCTCATCTATCACTGGAATGAAAAACTTGGTTGGTGTAGCTCTTTATACAGGGCCTGATAGTCCACACAAAATTGCCAACTTTCATTCTTCTTTTTAACTAGTAGAATTGGGCTGAAAAACGGACTCATACTCTGCCTGATGTTCCCAGCCTCCAACATCTCTCTGATCAGCTTTTCGATCTCATCCTTCTTGATCTGGGGGTAGCAATACAATCTGACACTGATCGGTGATACCCCCTCCTTTAGCATAATTTCAGGCACCTATGCCCTATGTGGTGGCAATCCCTAATGTGGTTGAAAATTCTCATTGAACTGCAATATAATCGGCTGCACCGAAAGAGAGATGCCCCATCCATCCTCCCCTATGATCCCCTCCAAGCTCTGCAGCTCCACCAGAAATCCTCCTCCCTCCTCCTGTAAGTCTCTTACCATGGTTTCAATGACATCATGACTTTGGAGAGTCTTGCATCTCTCTTAATCATTATCTTCCTCCCTTCCATTAATAGTTTCATTGTCAGCGACCCCCAATTTATCTTGATATTCTCCAAGATCTGTAGCCATCTCATCCCCAGGATGACATCCGTGCTGCCCAACTCTAATGAGAGAAAATCATCCCTCACCTAGATCCCCTGTATGGTTAAGACAACTTCTCTACACACTCTTCTCACTGTATTCATCTTTCCTGTCCCCATCATCACCCCATAGCCTCCTGTGTTTACCAATTTCAACCCCAATTGGTCCACAACTTGGATGGAGATGAAATTGTGGGTGGCCCCACTATTTATCAGCACCATAACCTCCTTGTCTGATATTTCTCCCCTCATCTTCATAGTGTGGCTCGGAGTGAACCCTACTACTAAGTTCAGGGACACCTTAGCCACGTCTAAATGTAACTTCTCCTCTTCCACTGACGCCTTACTCCCACCTCTCTCCTCAACTTCCTCATCATCACAAACTGTGAGAACTTGAAGAGTTTGGTCCTTACATCTATATGCCCAAACATGTACTTCTCATCACATATGAAACATAGCCCTTTGTCCCACTTATCTTGCACCTCCGCTTCTGTGAGTGCTTGAAGCACCCCCCCCCCCCCCCCCCCTTCCTCGGGCGAACTCCACTATTCCTAGGAACTTCTCTCTGGAAGGATCTTTGGGTTTTGGGAGCTAAGGTTGTAGGTTTACTCGAATAAGCTCCTCCCACGATGTTGCGTTTGATGGCTTTTCCCCTCTTACATTTTTCCTCCACCCTCTGAACCAATTCCATCGTCTCTCTTAGCCCCTTAGGCCTCAATACCCTGAGTTCGGCCCGTATGTCCTCTCTAAGCCCCTTTATGAAATTCTTGTCTAATCCTTCCTCAGAAATCGCCCTCAGTCTTTACTAATTCATCATCTTTCTCCTGGATCCCTTTTCCTTGTGATGCCACCCTAGGAATCGTCGGTGATGCCTTCGTGTGCATCTAAAGCATCTTTTTCATCATCTCTTCAAAGTCCCCGAAGCGGTTTTTGATTGCTAAGAGTCTTCCTTCCACCCCGAAATATTTTTACTCTACTTCAACCTTGAGTTGTTCCATCTCTCCCTCCAATGCATCCATTTTCTTTGCTGCCATAATTTAAATCTATGCACTGATTGCAAAATCAACAAGAAAAGATTACTTTTTCCGCCCATAAATTTACTTTGATACCAATTTGTCATGAAACAAGTGCAGGAATCACCCAAATAGTGGCTGAAATTGAGAATTTTAGCAAGAACACAACAATTTTTGAAGAAATATCTTGACAAAACAATAGGAAAACTTGATAATTGAAGAAAAGTGGAAGGAAATAAGCAAGATACAATGGATCTTGAATTCGAGAGGAAGATCCGGCTCTCCAATTCTCTAATGAATGGTTAGAGCCCAAAACCTAAGAAGAAATTGCATAACCCTAACCATAATCCCTTCCCTCCTATTAGAGAATACAAAATAAAAGACAAAAGACTAAACAACCTTCCCCAAATTAGTTTTCCCTCCTAAATATCCCCTCTCATTTGATTTGGCCATTAATTCGTGGACCCCACAAGGGGGCCAGCTCCCCCTTTCTTCCGCTTGGAATATACTAGGTGCCGGCCCTCTTGGGCCGGTTGAACCGGTCCAATATGGACCGGTCTATCATAAGCCACACATCTACCTAAGAATTCTCATCTTTGCAACACTTAAGTTTATTTTATGCTTCTTATGTAATGAACAAATTTTTGTGCTATAAAAAATTACAGGTCTCACCACCATCTTATAAAAATTTCTCTTAAGTTTGAGTGATACTTTTCTATCACACAATAGGCCCAATGCATTCTTCCAATTCCACCATCCAACTTGAATTCTATTAATAATATCCATATGTATTTCACCATCACTTTGAATAATAGACCCAAGATATCTAAAACGTGTACTCTTATTAATGACTTGATTGCCCAAAGTCACAATTTCCCCACTAGATCTTTTACTACTAATAAAAGTGCACTCCATGTACTCGGTTTTAGACCAACTCAAACGAAAACCTTTAGACTCTAAGGTTGGTCTCCATAATTCAAGTTTTCTTTCAACTTCCTCTTTAGTCTTATCAACAAGAAGAATATCATCAATGAAAAGCATATATTACGGTGCATCCTCTAGCAAATGTCGTTGTTGGGTCCCAAGTTCTGGATGAGAAAAATGGAAAGCAGCATTAGATATTTGACAACTAACGTAAATTTTGTCGAACAATCATGACAATAATTTTTTTTTTTTTTAAAAACTAATATGAATAAAAGCCTAAGTTAACTAGTTTCAATTTTACTACAGGCAATGGTTCATGAACTTATTGGTATCCTAGATAATAAAGTTGATTTGAGAAATGTTGGCACAGTTCCCAAAGATCAACAGGTAGCATTCTATTGGCTCTCACTCTTTTCAAGTCATCCACATTTGATTATCATCCTGTAAAAGCTAATCAATTCAATATCTTCTACTTGTAAAGGAGGTTGTGTTGTCATCAGAGCAGGATGCATTTTTTAAAGCTAATATCTATGAAAATTTTGGAGATCTTGGATTGAACATCAAGCAAATGGTGGATGATTTTCAACAGATTGCAAAGAGTAACCAGAATATTCAAACAATAGGTAGATTTGATCAAAATTATGTGGTCTTTTAGGACAAACTATGCACGGACCTAGTTTTTAGATGGGAAGATCTGTTTCAAGTATTTGAATATATTATCTATTGAAATCTTAATACTCGCAGATGATATGGCGAAGTTTGTCAACAACTATCCTGAGTATAGAAAGATGCATGGAAATGTCTCCAAGCATGTAACCATGGTTACAGAAATGAGCAGGATTGTAGAGGAGAGAAAACTCATGTTAGTTTCACAAACAGAACAAGACCTTGCATGTAAAGGTGGACAAGCTGCAGCTTATGAGGTACTTTGGTTTGAATGTGATTTGTTCAATCAGCTGTTCTAATTTTTGCTTGAAAAACTATTTTATTTCCCCTTTATCCTGATTGAGGAGCATATAATATTTTATGTATGCTTTCCAATGCTGTTCTTATTGTTGATAAAGCAAAGCATAAATTGACATTAATAAAAAATGTAGCATGGTGTAGAGTAGAGATGTTATCAATAAGCCTATTGTTCAAATAATGATCTCTCTTATGTAGTTTATTCTTTCAATCAAAAAGGTGAACCCAAATTCTGTTCTGACTAAATTAAAAAGAAAAAGGAAAAAAAGAAAAGAAAGAGGGAGTTTTGAATAAAAGCGAAACAACACATCTCTACAATTCTGGCCCACCTCACACAATTATGCCCAAACAATACATCACTTCGCTATCTTAACTCCCTGGCGACAATCCAATCGATAAAAAAAGATGAGATAGAAGGAAAGAAAAGATGAACATCGCTCTGGTTCTCGTTGACTTGCAAAAATCCTCCAATCCCGATCCTGCCAAACACCTCTTCTATTTTAATAGCTGAACCCGAGCCCTAGCTCGACGCTCGCGGCTCCTACACGCGGCAGCCTGCTTCATGCGACCAACATGCCGGTCCAACTTCTTGCTTCTGCCTGCAGCCTGACGACTTTGATCCATGTGAAATTGAACCCACTACGGCCAACCGAACCCGTGACCAGATGCCCGTGCCTCCTTCGACGATGTTCCTTCTTGTTGGATTCAAAGTCATTCCTCCTTGCTGTTCTTCTGTTGGATCGCAAGTAATGACAACGATAAGAGCCTACTAGTTTCGAAAGTAGCCATCTTTCTTTCTTTCGTGTGCTTCTTCTGTTAAATCTTGTAAATCTACCGAATTCTTCGATTTAGTAAATCCAAGATTTATATCAAAAATAGGGAAATTGAAGAATTAACTCACTGTGAGATTTAACAGTTCCCTAAATCCTATTTGGCAGAATTTGTCATAAATTCTGCTCAACTCTTGCATAAATCCTGCATCCAAACAACCCATACGGTCAAGCCTTATAGATGATCAATTTAGTTTTTGTCTCTGTTGTGTAAAAAAAGATATGAAATTCAAACTAATGGGGCCATGTACAACTAATTCCAGTTGAAAAGTCTTTAAAATCATAATTTTTAAAGAAATTGTAAATTTTAAATGAGAAGAAATTCCAACTCAGACATCGCATCGTCAACCTTAGGTTTGGGCAAGATTTTTTAATCGAATGCCTCGCGCCGTCAACCTTAGGTCTGATTGAGATGATTTCAAATCAAGACCTCGCACCGTTGACCTTACGTTCTGTCGGGAAGAAATTATCGGCAAGTGTCGCCCTGACTTCCTCACAAGGGGAGATGACGTCGCGAGGCTGCCGAAATTGCCTTGAAAAATCGACAAAATTGAAGAGCGATTAATTAATTTAAATAATCAATTAATTGTAAAAGAAATAGTTATTTTAGAATTAAATGATAATTAATTTATTAAGTTAATTAACATTTAGTGAAATTAACTAATTATTTGATTAATTGATGAAAATTAATTAATTAAAATTAATTGATGAATTTAAATTAATTGGTTAATTAAAATTAGTTATTCAAAATTAATTAATTGGTTAATTTGAGAGCACTTAAAATTCGAGAGCATTTAAAAATCTGAGAGCAGTTAAAATTCGAGAGCAATGAAATTTAAATTGATTAATTGGTTGATTAAAATTATAATATTTAATTAATTAAATTAATTAATCAATTAATATCGAGAGAGACACTATGGTGAGAAATTTCATTTAAATGCAAAAAAAGAAATTATTTTTCCACTACTCAAACCTAACGAACAAGCTACATTGAAACCACTCCTAAATCTATGACTCAAACAAGAGAAAATATCTCCTTTGCAAACCCTCCAAACTCTCCAATCCTCCTGTGCGAGCTCCAAAATAGCATGAACTCCTGCAAACAAGCAAATAAAACTCTTTTGCATTGAAATTAAATTGCTAAGACAAGAAAAGAATAAATGCTACACTAAACTACAATATTGGTACAAGAAAATAAGGTATGGCACTAAAAGTAAAACTTGGTACTAGTGCAAGAAAGTAAAATAGGTTACTGGTACAAGAAAAAAGAACATGGTACTTAAAAGTAAAGTACGATACTGAAAGAAAAAGAATAAGTTACTGGAAAGTAAAGCAGGATACTGGTGCAAAAGAAAAGCAAGTACTGTGAACTAAACTACAATACTGTCAAGAAAAGAACAAACTACTGTAGCAAAAACACTAGTGTCGGACTAGTAAACAACTAAAAGCTAAGTTCTAGTGTCAAATTAGCAAATAACTACAAGCTAAAGTACCTACGGGTACAATCCAATCTACCTTGAACAAACTCAATAGGCCACTTCCAAAAGGAAGCAGTAAGTCCTACAAATCAAACAAAACCATGGCAACTTAGCCTATAGGGCTAGGTTGTAAGACCCGCTAAAGGGCAAATTCTAAGTGAAGTTGTAAGACCCGCTAACGGGCAAATTCTAAGTGAAGTCGTAAGACCCACATGTTAGGGATATTGCTAAATGTAGTACAATGACCCTAAACTTCGAACAATCAGACATAAACAACTTTTCCTATAGAGCTTGGTTCTAAGACCCACCAGTGGGCTACTTCTAAAGGGAAGCAGTAAGACTCGTTCTACCGAAATAATCAGGCAACTTCAATAGTAGTTATAAGACCTATTATTTGTCAAAATTTTAAATGAAATATCAAACCTGAAAACCCAAACAAATAAAATGAACAGACATCTTAGCATATAGGGCTAAGTTGTAAGATCCACCAGTGGACAACTTCTAATAGAAGTCATAAGACCTGCTATATGGGCTAGTTTCAATGTAAGCCGTAAGTCCCGACCCAAAATTAAACACCCGGTCTACTTCTAATAGAAGCCGTAAGACCCGCTTCAATTCAAACTTCTGAGTAAGTTCTAATGAAGTTATAAATCCCAAACCAAAGTAATTTTTGGGTATTCTATTAGTGTAAATCCCAAAACCCAATAAAATTTAAATTTATATCTAACCACTTCAGTTTAGTTGGGATCCCTAAGAGGAAGTAACTCATGGCTGCTAATCAGATTCCCTAGACACTACAGTTAATGATTGTTAATAATGTTGGTAGACTGAAACCTACAGTGTACTTGGGATGATAGAACCATTAGATCTTGATTGGGTTTATCTCTATTTCCCCCCACAACTGAGACTAAAATACATAAAAATTATTCCTGCTTAATCGAGAGTTCTCTCTTACGAGTTAAGATGTGTAATTAACTATGAGTGCTTGTACTCATGGTAAGTAATGATCCAGTTCTAACTAAACCCTGACACTACCCTTAGAGGAAATCTGGTTAACTACAATCTGACTTAAGGGGAATGCAATCTTACAACTGCAAAATGGGGTTCATGCCTTCACGCCATTTTCCTTGAGCTAACATTCAGACTACTTGAAATGAATCTGAATAGTGTCTGTTACTTTTACTATTCCAAGTTCGACTACTTGTAATGGATTTGAGTAGTGTCCGCACTTTCGCTGTGCTAAGTTTAGGTCTTGGATTTTGGTAAATTGCATTGTTGTAACTTTGCATGGTTGCTCGAAATGAGTAATTGATGTTGTACATGCTTTTTATATTATGCTTGCCTTGCACAATAACTTGATGTTGTATTTAGATATTTTGGTCAGAGATTTTGGTAAATTATATAGCATGCAAATCTGGAAATGGGGAACAAAATTTGAACAAGTACAAATTATGCTTATGATTTATCAACAAAGCTTATTGCAGTAATCCGTTTTCTGTATGGTAGAATTGGAACTGTGGCTGTGATCTCAATTTGTTTGAACAAAGAATAATTCTTAACTTGATTAAATGGCTGATTAAGTTGATTTTCTTTGTTTGTTTGTCTTCTTAATCTGCTTGTTGTTTTCTTCTTCTTTTTTCTCCTCTCACTCTCCCAACTATTTAGTTCTGTATTGTTTTTCACAGTTCTATTCTCCCACTAGACTAAACAGTTTTCTGGTTCTGACATGCCAGTGTCATTTAGAATCTTAGCTAGTAGCCTCCCAACAACCGGGTAGCTCTTCCCACGGTTAACCAAGTTCCATCAGTTTCTTAAGTTTACTTTTTGTGTTCGACTGTTTGTATGTCTTTTCATTCTCATGCCCCTCTTTTTTTTTTCCTCTCCTTTTTCCCCTCACTCTCCCTTTCTGTTTCTTTCTGCATCGGTTTTCACCATTCTTTTCTTCCACCCCACTAAACGGTTTTCTTGTTCTGACACACCATTGCCATGTAAGATAGTAGCCTCCCTACCCATGTCCTAACACTAAAAATAAAGGGAGTGAAACACCTCACAATGATCCTCCTAGATTGAGGTGAACATGGAAGTACTTTATTAACTCATTACATATCATCAAGAAAAAATAATAATCAAAATTTAAGATGATTATTTAAATTAGCATTCTATAATATTTTTTTAGAATGGAAGCAATTTCACCAATGATCATCCATTCATCTAAGAGCTGTTAAAATAATTTAAAATTCTTTGTATATCATAAAAACTTGATAAAATCATACTGGACATACCTCTTAAAACTCTATCTTACAACAAAACTGCACATCAAAAACTGTATACCCAAAATATGAAAACCTGATGCTTATTTTACCATGTCCATCCCCTTTTCTGAACTAGTATTTAACATAATATGATGTGCATAAAAAGAAACTCAGCAAGATAAACAATTAAAAAATATGAAATAATTAACATTCAAGTTTACTTATACTCATACGTTATCTCATATGTTACCTATCGTCTTTTTGTAATAAATATCTAATTTAATCTCTGATCACTTTATAAGTAGAATATCTAATGAAAACAACTTCAGATAAAACATAAGAGTTCAAATACAACTTATATTTCATCAATTATTAATAAGCTATCAATGAATTTCTTTGGTTGTTCACATATATCATATACAATTTCTCCTTTCGACTTTATAATGGATCATTTTATAGAAGTGGCTCATTTGACTGCTATAAGCTCGAAAGCTATGTATTGAGGACCCTTTAGCCTCCCAATGGACCCACTTTTGTTGCCCTATTTGTACAGGTCAATATATATATCTTAGTGGAAGGACCCTTTGACTTTTTGCTTGGCTCGTGTCTGTCGTCCAACCTATACAACTCATGATCTTATCATTCTATCAATATACACATGATTTTTCTAAAGCTCCCTTTTTATCATTAAGGTATATATCGCTTTTTTATTTTTATCATTCTATATATATACATGCATCTTTAAAGTGAAGCATACATTCCTATTTTTTATAATAATAAAATAGGTAATTTTATCATAAACATGACTAGTAGTGATATTAATGTATAATAAATACATTTCCTGAAGTTATATTTGTTTATCTTACCTGACTGGGGTGGTCGACGATCCTTTTCAAGGTAAATTGTCTCCTCATTAACACCCCAAAGCCTGTTTCGTTTGCAGAAAGGCTAAATGATAGTTTTAACGCATTAAAATCAAATTTCAAATTTTGACATAATTAAACTTCAATTTAACCTCAATTAATATTTTTAACTCGAAATCATCTCTCATATAAATCTCAAGTTTCTCAACTTCTATTTGTAGCCAATTCAACTGGAGGAATTGATGAAAAATCTGATTTTACTTCCCACGCCCTACATTTTCCCTTCGTTCTTTCCTTCTCTTCTCCGGCCAGCCTTCAGTTCAGCACTGTTTTCGCTTCAGAATGGTTACGGGGTGGAGTATTGGGATTTGAATGTCTTGTGTTATCGATTAATATATATTAGTGCCTTTAACCTACTATGAACTACATTCTAATATCCCCTTTCACATCCGAACCATCATGGCCATTGATTCCCATCAACCAATGCATGAAAGCTTAGTGGATTTCCGGATTAAGAATTCTGCTTCAGTGTAATAAATCCGTGAACAGTTAAATTAAGAGCTCAACTTAGGTAATATAATAAAAATGCATTTTAATTTATATTAGCTTATGTAATCAAAATTTTTATATATACATACTAAGACGATTCATACAATTTATAAGATTTTATTAAAATACTATTTATAGTTTTTTAAGATGTGAAAAATGGAATATAATTTTTTGGAATTTTTTTGAGAATTTGGAACTTCTATCTTATCAAATTTCAAAATATTACAGGAAAAAAGTTAAAGAAGTTACAACATAAAAATACATGACTATCCGTTTTGTTATTTGTTTCTGACCTGCACCTTTAACTTCTCTTGCTATTGTCCTCCATGTTTTTCTTATCCAAAATGACTTTTTTTTTTTTTCATTTCTATTCCCAGTCATTTTCTTGGATCTTCCTGTTGACCTCCACAGAAAAGCTAAAGAAAAAAAATATAATGATAAGAAATTACATACCCGCTCAAATCCACATCATATACTAAAATCACGTCAAAATCCCGTTGGAAAAAAAAAAAAACTATTCATTCGGCGCCGTTCGAGTCTTGATCGGAAATATCATAGGAAATACTTGAGTTCGCAAGGAACTCTAATGGGAAATACTTGAGTTGGCAAGCAAACCTAACACTAATTGGAAAAAATTGAGAGGAGGCCGGAGCGCAAATTTTCGGAGCCCACACTTCCATGGGTTCTATGAAAGTGAACTGAATTAGTTGCATTTGATTCAGCTCTTGTTTATCTAAACTACACCCCATGATTGTTAATTGACTTCATAATATATTTTCATGCATTTCAGCACTTTTTTCTATTGAATTAATCAAATTAAGCATGTTTATTTGTCTGGTAGGTGGAGTTTTACTTGGCTTATCTATGGAAATTTATGGTTATGAATGCAAAAAATGAGCTTCCTGATTTAACTCGTTGTCCAAAGAGGTTGAAGTACAATTAGGTACTCCATAAGATTTAACATGAACGTCTCATACAATTTCGTCCTGTAGTCTTTCTGGAACGTTAGAAGAAGGCAGTTTTTTTCCTTTAGTATTTTATTTGATTATCATAAGGCCCTTTCTTATCGCATTATTTCAGTTCAGTCCAGTTCATCTTACTGTTGTTTTTTTTTAGTTCTTACTATTCGTTTGTTGAAGCCCCTTTCTGCTGCGGTTATATTTTTACCGGTTGATGTACAGAATTTTTTATACGTGTCAACAATGTTTTTATTTATTTATCTTGTTTAATGTATCATTTTTAAATATATTATTCACTATTTTTAATGTTTATCATGCCAGTTTTACAGTCATGATTAGAAGTTAGTGCGAGTCAAGACATGAATCTTAACTTGTGTTCCATGTCAGTTCTAAATCATTGCAACCCCACATTTGGCGATAATACATTTTGTCAATCAGATTCAAAAGAGAAAGTGTTTGTTTAAGCTGTCATTCTTAACTATATTGCACAGATGTAACTTCAGAAACTAATCTCTTACCCATTTTCCAGGCTGTAAACAATCTCCTGAACAATGAAAGCGTGTCTGATATTGACTGTTTACGGTTAGTAATGTTGTACGCCCTGCGCTATGAGAAGGAGAGCCCTGTCCAGCTAATGCAATTATTCAACAAATTAGCTTCTCGATCAGAAAAATATAAGTCTGGTGTAATATAACTAGACCAACTGCTTTTCTTTTTTGAGGTTTTCTCAATATGCTTGCCTCTAGTTGGAACAAATGTTCTTTGTATGCAGTTGAATTCTCAAATCACTTTTTTTTTTTTTAATTCGGTCTTAAATTATGTTCCTTCCCCTTTTGCACGCCTTCATTGTGATGATCTATGTACTTTGGAATAGAATTTTATCTCTCCACCATCTCTTCTTTACACATGAGAAGAAGTTCTGAACTTTTACTTAATTATTATGCTAAATGCGCATGGGTTTTCTTTTTGATCTGTGCTTTTAGAATAATTGTTTAAGTTATTTGAGGAATTTCATGCCAATCGAACATAAATTTGCATTTCATGATTTCATGCTGCAAAAGGATGAACTCTGCAAAAAGAATTGAAGAAATACTGCACATTTTTGTCTTTTTATATGATTTTTTGTTTACAACTTCAAGTTATCGTATTCCTCGTCCAATCATGTTATCAAGGTTGTTTTTGACATCCTTCCGATTTAAACTTAAATGTCACTTATTGCTTTGTGTGATATGCTTTCCTAACTTTGTATGGAAAACATGCTCCTTGACTGTTTATCTTCTAGTAGAACGCTTTTTTTTTTAATTGCTTCTTTTTTATACTTTCTCTGTATGTATGCTGGTTAAGAAGTTGATAAGTGGATATACATGGTTCACCAGCTTGTACAATTCCTCTTAAAGCAAGCAGGAGTTGATAAGAGGACAGGTGACTTGTACGGCAATCGTGATCTACTAAACATTGCTCGTAATATGGCTCGGGGACTCAAGGTTTGTTATGACCTCTACTCTTCTTTTTATGCATACCAAACTCTCATTATGGTTTTTGTCTCTATCACAGGGAGTTGAGAATGTTTACACTCAACATCAGCCTCTTCTATTTCAATCCATGGAAAACATTACCAAGGGACGCCTTAGAGATATTGACTATCCCTTCATTGGGAATCACTTTCAACAGGGCAGGTACTTGTAACTACATCTTCCAAATTTCTATAGCACAAATTCTTTATCGTGGATTCATGGTGAATCAAACTGTTTGGCCAATAATTGGAAGTACGCATGGAAACAAATTTTTAAAATGGTAACTTCATTGATGAGAGTTTGAGACCAATGTTTTGGCCTTTAAACGCAGTCATATTGCTTAAAAGCACTACATGGACCACCTCTAATATAGGTCATAAGACTCGCTACACAGGCAACTTCTAAACGAAGTCATAAGACCCGCTACCGTTGCACGGGCTACTTTTAATGAAAGTCGTAAGATCCGACCCAAATCCAAACATAAGGACAGTTCCTAAATGGAGCCGCAAGACCCAATCTAAATCTAAATTACGGCCAACTCCTATGCGGAGCCGCAAGTGCCAACCTAAACCAATCATCCACATTTAACCACTTCAATTTACTCGAATTTTTTAAGAGGTGACAACCCATGTCTGCTAATTAGATTCCCTGGACACTACAATCAACGGTCGTTAGTGTTGGTAGATTGAAACCTACGATATACCCGGGATGATGGAACCATGAGATCTTGATCAGGTTTACCTCCATCCCCCACAACCAAGATTTAAAACTGTTGCACGTCTAAATAATTAATTCATCCTTAATTGAGAGTTCTCTTCTACGCATTAGGAGGGATAGTTAACTATGATGGTTTTCCCTCATAGGAAGTGGAACCTCAGAACTAAATAAACCTTGATGTTGATCATCGAGGGAAATATGATTAATTTAAATTACAATCTACCTCGGGGAAAATGGGACCTATAAGCTTGCAAAAGAGGGGTTCGTGCCATAGCTCAACATTCATTTTCTTGAGCGAAAACAACCATACTTGGTTATATTTGAGGACATGTTTGGGCGGTGGCATATGGATCTAACCTTCTCTTACAACCGCATGAACTCCACTTCTATCTATCTCTTTCCTATACAACCTACTCGACCTCCGTTCAAGACTCCAACATCTACCCCATTACCCTCGTTGTTGCAACTTCCTCACACAACCTAACATCAAATGCCGATAAACTTGGCAATCTTCCTTCACACATCTCTCTTTCACTAGCTTTTTCTCTTTGTATCTCTTTCTATCGCCACTCCGCTTTCTCATTTCATCACTTCTTCTCTCTCTATTTTTCTCCATTCAAAAAAAAAAAAAAAGTTAAAAATATTTAAAAAAAGGAGAATGAAAAGTGCAAAAATATTAAAAAAAACATTTTTAATCTTGCCATCACAAATTCATCCCTTCACCCTAGATATCTTCAACTTGGTTCCTTGCATACTAAGTAATGGTGAAAAAAAAAAAACATGCACATCATCTCGATGCAACGAGGAAAGCTTGTTATATTTGTGGCCTTATTCGTGTATATAAAAGAGTTGTGCATGTTTTTTTACTGTGGTGGGTTAAGTCTCATTTGCATCATCTCAACAAGACTAGAAAGCTTCATTGTGCACATCTTTTTATTTCAGTATATGAAGGCTCATGGATGCTTTTCTAAGTGTGGTGGATTTGAAGACCCCAAATTGTGGTGTTGCAGATATTGACTATGCATATTTTTTAAGCATGGTAGGAAGGCTCATCACTGTCCGTAGAGATTGACACATGAAGCATTTCCTAGAGGCATGAAAATGGGATCCATTCACAACAAGAATTGGTGGAAGAGGGGATCAATCAAGGGAAGAGAATAATTGCTGATTACATGCCATAAGATCGAGACCGTTAAACATTTTAGTGAGGACAATAAAATTAGAAGCTTTCCATGTAGAGAATTTGTTGGTGTCATCGTGATTTGGAGGACATACATCTAAATGGATGATTTTTTCGTGAGAAACAACTAGAAATAGAAAAGCATTTAATCTACGAAAATAGTTGATACAATAAACTCGATGGTTTTACCAATGATGGGAGGTTTTTTTTTAGTTAGGAAGAGAAGTCTAAGAAGCTATGACATCTTAGAAAAGCCGAAGCTAAAAAAGCTATGATTAAGTTGAATCTTGTTTGAAGTTGTGACACGGTGAGGGGAACGAGAGGATGAGGCACGATCAATGAGTGTCATAGAATGTAGCCAAGCACACCAAATGACTGAGGAAATGAATGGAGTATGTATAGATGCTGGCAGAGGGCACATGTGTGAGTGGAGGTGGAGTGTGGGATGTTGGTACAAGGCGAGGTGGATGAAGAATAGGTGGCTTGTGAGTGTAGCGCCAAGCAGGAGGTGAGAGAGATCAATTCGTTGGGAGGACATTAGGATCAACACAATATGTGTGTAATGGTTTCACGAAACTGTGACCGCATGTGTGGCATAGGCGGAATTTGATATAGGTATAGATGTATGAAGAATTGATTGCTATTGCGTGCTATAGCAGGTAGGGGTTGAGCAATATCGGCGTGGTGGGAGGGGATCAGGATGCTATGCCGGTTTCTAGGAGGGAGATGGGGTTGGGTGACCGAGGGAAAGGTCTTCAAACCCAGCATTCAGAGGTAGTCGGGGTTACTAACATGGTTTGATATCATGTTTAGGGATTAAATAATAGAAAAATTACTTAAAAATAATAGAGGGATGAATACCATATTCTAGGGTTTTGTGTTTTCGTTGAAATTTGAGGATGATGATGATTTTGTGTTGATTCGAGGGTGGAATGTTTGTCTAACCTTCCATCTACTGTGTTAATACTGTGTTGTTAGTCTCCTCAACTTGGTATGTGACGTTGATCTTCTTTTTTTTTTGGTCCAGACCACAGGAAGTTGTAGTTTTCGTTGTTGGAGGAACAACCTATGAGGAAGCACGCACTGTGGCTCTACATAACGCTGCTAATTCAGGAACACGTTTCATACTTGGCGGTACTGTTGTTCTCAATTCCCAGAGGTAAAGGTTTATAAGCCTTGTTTGTTAGTTTATTGCTCTGCTAGTGTTTCATCAATTTTGTTATCTCTAGTATAGTTGTAGGGCTAGTTTGCTTGTCAACTCAATCATGTCCAATGAAGTTGCACCAATAAAATGGGGATGATGGAAATAAAGTTAATTTCATTTTGTATTCATGCAAATTCTCATGGGAAAAGCTGTTGATTAGAGCAAAACTTTCCAATATTCAAATGCGCAGGTTTCTAAAAGATCTAGAAGAAGCTCTAAAAATAGCTCGGTCAAGCATTTTAATTTAATCTCCAAGTGACTGAGATCAAAGAAAAGACCCTCAGATTTTTTCTTTTCAATTTTAAAGCTGCTTCAAATACTTGTCGCGCTCTTCCTTTAGCGATTAACTTGAAAGGTATCTTTAGATTGTAGATTCAATCTCGGTGGTTACATACGACTTTTTAAGGACAATTGAAGTTGGAAAGTGTAAATGTTGAGCATCACAGCGGTCTTATATTTGAGCAAGAAAGATTATTTTTTTCATATAGCAATTTTCCTAGTTTGACCACAGGAAAACTTTGTAATTATGAAATCTTGATGCTTTATACCAATATTTTTTCTTTTTCTTTTGCCTTTATTACTTTTAGAAACGGTAGACACCTGCTTTTTTATTATGTTGGATATCTACTCAGTACTCGATGATTGACAGTAATGAGCATGAGTTTATTTTTTCGTTGAATGAGAACTTTGCAGCTCTCACAGAACGAAAAGATTTTTGGTCATTTTTTAGCTTTGCAAAAGTGAAGATTGAGTATCAGAAACGATGTTTGTGACATCCCTTAGGTTTTGTTTGGTTTATTTGCCGTTTCGGTTTCAAAAACATCAATATTGAGGAATGGAGTTTTTGAAACGGAGAAGCTAATATATAATGCTTCTCAAACTAGTAGAGAAATGAAGTTTTTAAAAAAGTTTGTCTTACATTCAAACATCTTCCGTCAACTGAATTCTCCGTTTTAAACCGAAAAATGGAGGAGAAACGGGGAACCAAACGAGCCCGTAATCATTTTAAAGCTACATATATTAATAGCATTTAACTTTAAGGGGCTGTTTGCTAGCACCAAGGATTTGATTTTAGTGGGATTTCATAAATCTGCTAAATTTGGATTCCGGATATCCTGAGGGGCCTAAATCTTAAAAATTGTTTGGTAACATTCATGATAAATTCGATTAAATCCCATGTGATTATTTGGCTATAAAACGGATTTAACAAGCAAACTCTTCTTCTCGAGGCAATGGATTTCGTAAATCCGGCAAATAACATGAGATTTCGGAAATCCAGGATTTCGCACAAAAAAGCAGAATTTTTCGTATACGGCGGCTTTCATTTGCCTTGAGATTTGGTTTTGAATTTTAGGCCGTTTGGCTGGATTTTGCTCAAATCCGGCCTAAATTCTGATACCAAACAGCCCCTAAAGGTTTCCCCAGGTTTAAATGGTGAAAGGAGGTGAAGCTTTCGGCAGAGAGCGGCTGTAATCGTAAGAGTGGCAGAGATATCATAGTATTTGCTGGTGTGGCAATACCCTGTTTGTTGTTTTCTAGCTGGCTCATCAGGGAGGGGATAATTGAGTTAGTTGTATTCAAAATGGTGAGTTCTCCAGCCTGAGAAGCCTTGGGAGCACAAAACCTTCCACTTGCTTACTTGGTGCCCACGTACAAGTTCTTGGTGCTCGGTCAGCTTGCCGCGCTTGTTTATAGACTGTTAAAAGCCACTCCATCAAATGCGTGACTAGCACAATATTGATGATTCACTCGGCTCCTACCAATCCAATATCTACTTTTCGTTTTGTCAGCCCATGGGCCTTAAGACTTCTACTAGGGAAAAAGCGTGATCGTCATCCGAGACCAGTGGGATTGTGGGAGTCACTTGTAAGGAAGGGAAGAAATTATTATGTACAAACTTCAAATGTAGCTATGTGTTCAAACTCCAATAAACTCATGGCACATGAATGTTAATTTTGTATTGATTGTGAATTGACTATGTATTGAATTATGTATTGACTTTATATATTGATTGTGTACTAATTATGTATTGACTTTGTACAATTGTGTATTGATTAACTACTGGCTGGCTATGTATTAATTGTATATTAATGATGTATTGTGTGTACTATGTATTGATTGTGTACATATTGTGCATTGACTATGTATAGACTATGTATTAAATGTGTACTAATTATTTATTGATTATGTACTAACTATGTTTTGACTTTATATTGACTGTGTACTGACTGTGTATTGACTATGTATTGATTGTGTACTAAATATGTATTGATTGTGTACAACCTTGTATACATCGTGTACAAGCTTGTATAATTCTTCTTATATACACCCCGTGGTGTGTTTCCTCTTCTTAATATTTTCCCCCCTTATACACAAGGTGTGTATAAGAATGAGAAAGAGGCATAATAATAGTTGTTTTAGTTTCACAAGAATCATCACAATTATCAGCCAAATTTTAGAAAAATAAAATGTAAGGACTTTTCTATTCAAAATTTGATTTCAAGAAAGATCTTGATATGAATTGCCAAATGAAACTTTGAAAATCAAAGACCACAACAGGTCGTTCAACTATGATCATATATATAATTGATGAAGATGAATATTGGAAGGTATAAAATTTATCAAAAGCCACAATTATGAATTAGATAAGCCAAAAGGCTGACATCTACTTAGATCATGTAGGAATATGGGTGATGAGAAATCATTATATCTTATATTAATGACAGAAGTTGGGATAAAAATCATTGATACATTGCAGATGAAGTTGGAGAAATCAAGAATATTGGATTATCTAAGAGGGATGTATATAATTACATTCAGAAAGACAAAAGAGCAAATATTGAATATGGGAATACTAATTCTTAATTTAATTATTTAAAGATATGTAAGTTGATGACAATATGTTTGCATAAGACGTCCAAATTGATGAATTTGATAAATTATTGATTTTTTTGGATTGATGGGATGGACAAGATAGATTATGATTGCTTCGGAGATGTGGTAATTTTTTATAATAGCTATAGGCTTAACAAATATAATTTAGTATGTGAATCATTTGATCTTTTGCAGGTTTGGTTTCTAAGCACAATTTAATAAATGTTCCTAAAATGGGTAACTTAAGACCTTGTTTTCTTTGGTGGGATAGTCAAATTATATATTCTGCCAAACATGTTTCCCAAATATTTGATGAGCTAAATGATAGATAAGTACACATGCTAGATTATTACCTATGCACTGATTATATATTGAATGTATACTAATTGTGTATTGACTGTATACCAATTGTGTATTGACTGTGTACTAGTTGTCTGAAGAAGAGTTTAATTTTTGTGAGTCAGCTTACAAACTCAAGCCATGTGACATCATTCATATGACATATGTGGAAGGTGACAAAAGGGGTATGGTTATAGCTCGTGACAGTATTGAAGGCACCCTTTAAGTTATCAATAGAAGAGCAGATTATATTAGAGTAGCAAATTTAAATCTTGATTAGAGGTCTTTGGCATCAAAGACTTGGCTATATGAGTAAGAAAGGTATGCATTTACTTCTTACTAGAGGAAAGTTTCATGATTTACAATCTATAGATTTATATTTTTGTGAAGATTATGTATATGAAAAGTAACATAGGGAAAGCTTTTCAAATACTGGTTCAAAAGACAAGTCAAAGAAGTTGGAGTTAATTCATATTGATGTTGAGGACTTACTCCAATTACTTCTATAGGATGATTTTTGTATTTTATCAAATTTATTGATGATTACAGTATGAAGGTGTGGGTGTACTACTTAAAACACAACTTAGATGTATTTGATGTTTTTGAGAAGTGGAAAGCCATGGTTGAACTTGAGATATGTTTGAAGCTCAAGTGTCTCAGATCAAATAATGGTTGCGAGTATCGTGATAAGAAGTTCAATGAGTATTTTGCATTGAATGTGATCAGGCATGAGTTCACTGTTCCAAGAACACCATAACAGAATGATGTTGTAGAGCGTGTGAATAGCACTATAATTGAGCGTATCATAAGCATGAGATTATATATTAGTCTACCCAAGCAATTATGGGCAGAGGCAATGAATACTGTAGTTTATCTAATTAATCGTGGTCCTTCAGTTCCTCTGAATGAGGGGTTACCTGACGAAGCCTGAAGTGGAAATGAGGTTAGTATATCCCATCTCAAAGTTTTTTGTTGTTCATCCTATGTTCATGTTTATGCAGGATCTAGGAATAAGCTTGATTCAAAATCTATCAAGTCTATATTTATTGAATATGACTCAGATGAATCTGGCAACAAATTCTGGAATTGTCAGAATTTAAAATTCATTAGAAGTAGGGATGTTAGATTCAATGAAAATGAAATGTACAATGATAGAAAAGAAACTTCTGAATATTCTTCCAAATATGTTGAAATTGAAGATGGTGATGATCAAGAAGATGGAGCTAATGAAGCACAGATAGTACCTAAGACTTCTACTACAAAAATAAGGAGATCTAGCATAATCTCAAGGCGAGTACAAATGTATTCTCCTTCTTTGTACTGTATATTACTAACAGATGGTGGTGAATCAAAGTGTATTGATGAAGCCATTCAAGTTGATGATTCAAAGAAGTGGGAGCAAGTCATGGATGATAAGATGTATTCACTTGAGTTGAATCAAGCTTGGGAGTTGACATAGTTACTAGATGGCAAGAAAGCACTGTAAAAGAAATGGGTTACAGGCTGAAAGAAAAACCTGATGGTAGCAAGTGTTATAAGGCTAGTCTTATAGTTTAAGGTTTTTAGCAGAAGGAAGGAGTGGACTTCACTGAAATTTTTCGTCCATTGGCAAAGATGATTACAATCAAAGTTGTACTGAGTATGGTAGCACTTGAGAATTTACATATAGAACAGATGTATATAAAGAAAAAATTTCTTCATGGTGATCTTGATGAAGAGTTATATATGATGTAACCTCAGGGATATGTGGTCATAGATAATGAAGATCTGGTGTGTAGGCTCAAGAGGATCTTATACGGGCTGAAGCAGGCACCAATACAGTGATATAGGAGATTTGACAAGTTTTTGTTAGATAATGGTTACACGAAATACTAGGTTGATGGCTGTTATTTTTTAAAACATTTTGATAATTATTATATTATTCTGCTTTTATATGTAGATGACATGTTGGTTGCATGTTCAAATATATAGAAGATAAGACGTCTGAATGAACAATTGTCAAAGGAGTTTGAAATGAAAGATCTAGGTCTAGCAAAGAAAATTCTTTGTATAAGAATCAATAGGGAAAGAAGTGCATGTGTACTGAAGTTATCTCAGGTAGAGTATGTTGAAAATGTGCTTCAGATATTCAAGAGGCAAAACTAGTTTGCACACCCTTGGGTAGTCACTTTCAGCTATCCAAGAAATAATCACCTAAATCTGAAGCAAAGGAAGAACTGATGAAGAAGACGTTGTATGCTTCGGCAGTTGGAAGTTTAATATATGCTATGATCTGCATAAGATATGATATAACATATACAGTTGGAGTTGTCAGTAGATTTATGAGTAACTTAGGCAAGCTTCATTGTGAGGTAATTAATTGGATTCCTAGATACTGGAGAGGATCAGTTGACAAAGCTCTTTGCTTTGGTAGTGCAAAGATTAATCTACAAGGATATATAAATTCTAATCTTGCTACAGATCTTAATGCGAGGAGGAGCATAATAGGTTATATCTTCACATTGGGAAAGACAGCACTCAATCAAGTTTTCAAGTTACAGAAGATTGTTGCGCCCTCTACCACAGAAGCATAGTGTATTGTTATTACAGAGGCTAGTAAGGAGATGATTTGGTTGTAAAGTTTTTTCACAGAACTTAACAAGGTGCAAAGGAATGAGAAGCTACATAGCAATAATATGAGTGTTATACATTTAGCCAAGAATGTTGCATTTCATGCCAAGACGAAGCACATCTAGCTTTGGTATCATTTCATCAAGTCGCTCCTAGAAGATGGTCATTTATCTTTGGAGAAGATACACACCACTAAGAATCTTATAGATATGCTGACGAAGATGGAGATAGTTGAAAAACAAAAGCAATGTGTAGCTTCAGTCGGTCTTCATGAAGAATGAGAGTAGGGTGAGCCACAATACCAGTACTATGATTGATATTACAGATCGGGAGAAGGATTGATTGTAAGCAGTTCCAAGTGGGAGATAATTATGTGTGGAATCTGATTGTGTTGATCAATTTATTTGTTATGTTGTTTCAAACCTCAATGCTTGTCATGTTCGCTAGGAGGTACGGGGGCAAAGGGTTACCCCTAGACAAAAAAAAAATTTCATACAACGTTGAGACACTGTGTACCCGAGCACCCTGGCGCTACATATCAGAGCACCCCGACACTGAATGACATAGAGCATAGCACTGCATTGGCCTAGATATGGCGCCGTAGTGGTGCAAGATAGAGGCTTGAGCACCGCAACACCTAGGGCTGCAAGCGAACCAAACGTTCGACGAACTACTCGTTGTTCGAGTCGATTAAAGCTCGTTCGTGATCGTTTAATTAACTAACAAACAAACTTGAACAATATTTTAAATACTCGATTCTTAAATAAACAAGCTTGAACACTAATGCGTTCAGCTCGTTTATGTTCGCGAATAACATCAGTTGATGTTCATGAACAAGCTCGATAAAAAGCTCGATTCGGGTTCGATTAAAACCGCTCGATAAAAACTTAAATAATATGTTATTATAAAATTGATAAATATACATAATATAAAAACTTTAATTATAACATAATAATATAATTATTTTTTATTAATAACAAGAAACATTTCATATTTGTCCATGTTTGTTGGATTGTTTGTTTAGGATGTTCATGAACAAATTTAAGGTTTGCTTGTTCAATAGATTGTTTGCGAAATATGTTCACGAACATAGCTTGTTTAAAGCTTGATAAGCACTAAACAAACGAACATGAACCAAACATGAACACCCTTAAATTAAACGAACCAAACATGAACAAGCTAATGTTAAACAAACACAAACATGAACACTTACATACTCGGCTCGGCTCGGTTCGTTTGCAGCCCTCAAACTGGCTTCACAGTGCTATGAGATGAACTGAACGATTTCTTTCTCATTTTTCTGAAGGGTTGCATCCCTTGGAGTTATTTACCTGGATTTCTCTTTATATTTTTTTATTAGGGCAAGTGTGAGAACGATGTATGTGAGAAGAGAAGAAATGAGAGAGTGAGTGAGAATGGAGATCTGTACTTATTTCTTCCAATTTTCATCGTGGATTTCTTGGTGTGATGTGACTCCATCATTTTTTCTCTTTTCTAGATTTTTCCACAATAAATCCTTGTGTCATTTATTTTTGTTTATTTTGCTTTCTTGTTTGTTTCTCTACGGTGTTTACTCCTCATCCCCAAAAATCATTTATATCTTTGTATCTTAACTTCTGACATGCAATACACAGTCGGTATTTAGTCAATACACATGAAATATACAATCAGTAAATACCGTCAATACACAGTCAATAAACAATGTATAAGTTCTAAAAGCATAACGCATATAGACAACTGATATCTTTGAATCTTAGCTTTTAAAATGCAATACACAATCAAATAGTCAATACATAGTGTTTAAGTTCTAAAAGCATAACACATAAACCATTGATATTTTTGAATCCTAGCTTTTAAAATGCAACACACATTCAAATATAAATAACCGAACAACATTCATTGGTTTGCAAGTAGTTGCAATCGTCCAACCGTACGTAAAACCGACTACCCTTTTGCAGTAGCTGCACTGCTCACATCAAAGAAAAACATAAAATGTGTTTTTGTTCGGCGTTCGTTGGAACTAGCGACAATTGCAAACAGGCGACAAGCAAATGGCATAAACCCTAAACCTAAAAAATATTTTGAGTTCAATCTTACCTTGCGAATATACAGTATAAATTTGTCTGCGAGCAATTCGTGTTCGAAGATAAAAAATGAATAGACTCCACTTCCCCAACTTTTGAAATTTTCACCTCTGAATCAGGCAAGGTCACAAGCTGTAATAAATATATATTAAAAATCAATGTGTACAATCTACGTATCAAAATTCCATTAGAGTCCGGACGCAGAGTTAAGTCCAAACTCCACACATAATAATATGTGTTTGAACTTCGCACGTAATAATTTCTCCAAGGTGAATACTTAAAGCACAACATTATGTGATGTGACTTCATAACAATCTCTCCTCACGGGAGAAATTATTCTGTGCGGAATCCGGTTATAGAGCTGTATTCAGATGCCAGTAAAATCATTACATGTGGCGTGCTTACGTGGAAAGTTAGGATATTCATTTGACTTCTTACCCGACCCGTTTGTCTTTTCGGACTTACTGCATATGAAGAGAAATCCGCAACAATAAGCAGTAATTAAGCAGAAAATGCGCAACATATATGCAACAAATACTCAATAAATATGCAACAAATACGCAATAAAATACTCAATCAATACGCACATTTTCCGCAATAAATACTCAATCAATACGCATGTCAAATAAATATTGCGGACTGTTAACTTTCCATGTAAACATCCGAAGACAGCTCTTCAGAATAATTTCTCCTCCTCACGGAGGCTTGCATGAAGCTGAAAATAATGTAACTTTTTTTATTTTAAGCCCCGAAAAAACCTCAGCCTCAAGTCAAAGGACCTTCTCTATCCACCGCTCCCACTTTTGTGTTATCCCCTTCGGTTTTCTTCAGACCTTGAAACCTCTACTAGTCTACTCCCATCTCACAGATCCATTCAGATGTCCCTCCGCTTCTCATCCCCCTCCAATCCCCTCCTCCTCCACTCCCACGCTCATTTCATTCCTCTCCCCTTTTCCTCTCCCATTCTCCACATCTCACCCAAACCCAAAACTTTATCCCTAACCATCACCGCCGCCTCCTCCTCGCAGCCTCTGACGGCCCAACCCACAATCACTCCCTCCTTCCGTACCAAACCCCCTCACCAAGTAAACATCCTCGTTGTGGGTTCCACTGGTTACATCGGCAAGTTCGTCGTCAAGGAGCTGTGCCGCCGTGGCTTCAACGTCATCGCCATCGCTCGCGAGCGCAGCCGTGATGACGCAATCCGTCAGTTCACGGGCGCCACCGTTTGCTTCTCCGACGTCACCGACGCCGCCGTATTGGAGCGCTCCCTCGACTCTCTCGCCCTCCCAATTGACGCAGCCGTGTCCTGCCTAGCCAGCCGTTCTGGCGGCATCCAGGATTCCTGGAAAATCGACTACGAAGCCAGCCGAAACAGCCTCGCCGCCGCCCGCCGCCATGGCGCCACTCACTTCGTCCTCCTTTCCGCCATCTGCGTCCAGAAGCCACTCCTCGAGTTCCAGCGCGCAAAGCTCAAGTTCGAAGCAGAGCTCGCCGATGAGGAGGCCAAAGATCCTACGTTTAGCTACAGCATTGTTCGTCCGACGGCGTTCTTCAAGAGCCTGGGCGGGCAGGTGGACACGGTGAAGGATGGGAAGCCTTACGTGATGTTTGGCGACGGCAAAATGTGTTCTTGCAAGCCCATAAGCGAGCAGGATCTTGCTTCATTCATCGCAGACTGCGTGGTGGACGAGACCAAGGCAGGGAAGATTCTTCCGGTGGGGGGCCCGGGAAAGGCATTGACGCCAGTTGAGCAGGGGGAGATGCTTTTCAGGCTGCTCGGCCGGGATCCTAAGTTTGTGAAGGTGCCAATAAGTTTGATGGATTTCGTGATCGGAGCTTTGGAGTTTTTGGCGAAAGTATTTCCGGCCTTGGAGGATGCGGCGGAGTTCGGGAGGATTGGAAGGTACTATGCGGCGGAGAGCATGCTGGTTTTAGATGAGGAGACTGGTGAGTACAGCGCTGAGAAGACGCCGAGCTATGGGACTGACACATTGGAGGAGTTTTTTGCAAGAGTGGTAAGGGAGGGGATGGCAGGACAGGAACTAGGAGAGCACAGCTTTAATTTGCAGGAAAAAAAAATCGCTTTAGAAGACTAGTTCTTGTGTTAGTTAGATGAGGATTCTTTTGTCCTATTGCTGCAAGTGCTTTACATACAAATTTATTTTATTTTTGTTTCTACGAGAACTAATTGAAAATATGACATATGGGTGTTGATTCCATCCACCCCTAATAAGGTGTATCATCATCTTGGTTAAATCCACATTTTGGCCTCAAAGTTGAAAGATCCAACAATCAATCTCTGATCAGGCAGACAGACTAATTCATATCTACTTAATGAGTACATGTCATCGACGTGCTACTAGCTCAGCTTAGGTAAACCGAACTAAAAGTTGATTATAACATACATAATTCTCTTCAGATACAGAAAAACAACTGTAGTTGCTTCGAAGACATCTAACTACAGAAATAAAAAAAAATAAAGATATGTGAATATGATAGGTTTACCATTACAATTTAGGGTTGAAGACCCCGAAAGGCCATCTGAAATTTATTTGGCATGCCGTGACTCAACAAACGTTACAGCTCCTGCGGCAGTAGCCAGGCAAATCAGAAGTTCCCAACATATACTCAGGGTTCTTAGTGCACTCTCCCAAAGAAGCCCACCTCTCGCAACTTGGATTGCTATCGGTGCAATTTGCATGGCTTGACAATATTTTATCAAAAGAGGTTACATGAATCCACTTTGTTGCCGACCATTTCTCGCCTTCAATCACAGGACAACCACCATGAAGACTACTATGGTCTGGAGCAGCATTTGGATGAAGGTTGAAGAAGAGAAGGGCATCCCCTCTCCTTGGTTTTACTAAAATGCAGGTTTTATATGAGCACCATCCATCATGAAAATTAGTGGCAGGTGCAAACACAACTATCCTGAAATATTATTACCTGCAATTCCTCGACGAGCACATTCTGACACATCATCCTTCGAATGGGAATGCCGCTGAGATTCCTAGTAACACATCAATACATTGGTAAATATTAATAAGCTTTCACAGGTGCAGGAAAGTTTCTATAGCAAATGGATATCAAACAAAGTTTAGATCTTTATTCAACAAGTGCAAGAAAAAGATAATTTAACCATGCTTCCAAGGAATTGCCTCTTGGCTTAACATTCGTGCATTAACTTGGTCACAATGAATGTAAGACATGCGCTAACCTCAGCTTCTGGAAAGATGGTTTCTCCACCCTTTTCAACATCACTGAGATACATTAGAACGGTGGCAATTCGATGGCCGCCACGGGCAATGTTAACTTGGTCCGTGAAGAAATCATAATGCGGATCATATTTCTGTCCATGCTCATACCTCAGGACTTGTATATCCTCACCATTTTCTGAAAAAAATCAAGACATTTACAGTTCAATCTCCAGAAATGGCGTTCCGGGATACTTCAATCAAGTTCAAACTAAGATCAAGATACTCTAGTGACCTTGGCAGACGAAAATTTTAAGTGCGGATCTTTGGTAAAATAAATCGTTAAGCGGCTAACTTATGCCAAGTCAATTGAGGTCAACAGAGCATACATGACAAATTAAATTGTAAATCCGGTTCATAACATGAAAATCAGAGCATTTCAATGTGATGCATCCACTCATTCCATTTGGAAAAAACACTGAAGTCCAACACACGAGAAAGCAGATATCCACTATCCTCGACTAGTAAATTACCGTCTCAGGAGGATTTTTGTGATGCAATTTTTACTGGTGGGTTGGTATTAGATGTAAGACATGATGATTTAGCAGGGGACAGGATGACTTAAATATCTTGAAGTGATGAAAACCATGAAAAAGACACCTCTTGTTTATAAAGCATCAGCAAAAGAACAGTTTTTAAACAAAGGCCTCACTAATCTGAAATAGATGATTCACTAGCAAAGATGAATCTCATAAAAGCTATCCAGACCCATATAAGCCATCCTAGGCACTGTTGTTAGTCGCAGAAGGAAGAGTATGCTACCAGAGTTGAGTGAACAGCCCATCTAGAAAAAAAAAATCAGAGTCAGCTTTGTAACGGCTGAGTGCACGTTGTTGTTGATCCATAGAGGATAGATTTGTTCTTTTGGCAAAGAAAATTTTGGTTTGATGATGTCATAAAAAGGTTTCCTTGAGCATCTTTTGCAATCTTTGATTTCCCTCTTTCTATATCCTAATATAATTAGAGCTCGCTCTACGTACTTTGATGATTTCTGTTGCTCTCCAACCCTATCAATAATACACTGCAACAAGGGCAAAAAATAGTGCACAATGAGTCAACCACATTAGTTGGCTGGGTCAACCAAACCAAGCTGACCTGTGCTAGTTCTAGTTCTACCACATTTGATGCGTGTGTGGACATGATAAGATGTCCAAACATCTTAACATCGCACTTGCGGTCACTATGGGGAGAAGCCATTGAGTTTTGACTATGACAATAGCATCACTACTGTAATGCCACACTAGTGTAGTGATCCAGTTCCCCACTGTAAATGATGTTTCCATTGTGTTTATGATGGTTCCTTCATGTTGCTTCTACATTCATACGATTGCATTTATTCATTACAATGATTTTAGATGAGTTCTCCTGTAAAAATTTCCCTGAACTATAATATGTATGATAATGGCTTGTATTTATAATTTTAGCCTGTAGAGATAACTATATGATCTGTTGAACTTTGGTATGATACGATTAGGAATTTGCTAGTATAACCGACTTTTTTGGATTCGTTTGACATCTGTTTTGTAAGCCATATTCAATTGAGCTAGGATAGATCCTCGATTAACATGAAACTTTCAACAATTAAACTTAGTGACATTCTAAAACTCCAAGAATTTTTTAGGATTTTTTTTTGGAGCCTTTAGATCTCTTAATTAACAAATTCTAATTTGCCTGTTAATTAGGCTCTGATAATCTCAAAAAATTCTCCCGTTCGATCCAAGGTGAATCAAGGCCCAATTTAAAGAGGAGAAACATACGTGGATAATCTATAAGCTCAACCGTGTCAAGAATTTGAAGATCCAACGGTTAGATCTCTAAAAAAACCCTTAACCTAGATCACTACACTTATAATTAAATAGCGTTATAATAAGCACGTTATAAGATATAAAACATATCCCCCATGATTTATGTTCATACGTAAATCTTAGGTTTAAAATTTCATGAAATTCTATTGAGCCGCTTGCAAGAACGAGAGCTTTTTTCGTTTTAGGGTTTCAGTTCAGCTTGTCATTCGCTGCCGGTGTTCTGGACCGATGATCTTGCAAATCAACAGTCCATATCTGGCCTAACCGCCACTCTGTCTGACCGCTATATCGATCCCACAACTCCGTTCAAGACCGACCCAATCTGAGCTGTTCGTTTCATTCAACGGGCGATCCGACGGCCGTGGCGGGACGCTGACGCGGATTAGTGAAACCGCGTGGGTCCCACTGCCGTTTCAATCATCCGGCAATGATTGCACCGCCGCCGCGCAATCATTGCCAATCATTGGCCGCCGCCGCCGCCATTTGAATGAGCGAATCCGATCCCGCCAGGTGTCATCCAACCACATTTTTTTTATTTAAATCAATTTTAACTGTTTTTTTTATATTTTAATTCAGATTTTCTTCCAAAAATTATTATAAATTATTTACTAATCCAAAAAATGCGTATAATATTCGAATCAATCGTATTTTCGTCCTATTTGATTTAAAATTAATTTCAATTAAAGATATTAATCATATTTTAAATTATATTAATTATAAGATCTTTATCTAATTTTAATTAATAAATAATCTTAAAATCCTATTTAATTTTATCTGCTTTTATAAATTGAATTATTTTTAATTATATTATTTTCAAATCATATATATATATATATATATTTTAAACTATTTCAAAATTACATATTATTAAATTTACCTTAATTTTAGAAGATCCATTTGATGAAATTTCAAACATCGATCATGCTTATGAATGACATTCATGGGGGGTCAATTAGTGAATGATTGAGCTCTAATCATATTGATAAGCATGCTTAATTATTTCTTTTTGTCATCTTTTACATATGTAGGACGCACAAGCACTTAGTCTAGGCCCTCCTAGATTTTAAAATTAATGTGTTTGTTGTTATTATGTACCCCTTGCATGTTTCTTTAAGGGTTAGTCCAAAACTCAATTTAAAACCCACTTAATGTAGTGATACCCCAAGGGCAATAATTAAAGACCCGACTAACAAACTTAAATAAATTCTATGAGCTATGATAGATCCCCGATTAACATGAACTTTCAACAATTAAACTTAGTGACATATTAAACCTTCCAGAATTTTCTAGGATTTTTTTTTTTATCTTTTAGATCTTTTAATTAACAAATTCTAATTTGCCCGTTAATTATGCCCTGATAATTTCAAAAAATTATAATAAATCTATTTTAACTCAGAAAATTCCCCATAATATCTCAAACTCTTTAGAATTGAGCCCTTAACCTTAGATAATTAGGGCCCATCAGTTGGACTTTAATCTGAGCCTTAATTTAATTTAATTAAAATTCACTTTTTTCCTTAATTAAAAATTATTAAAAAATTTATATTTTGCCCAAACACTTGGGAACACTACTTTAGGTCATTCCTGACCATTGGGGGTGATTCCAACCAGGTTGGAGTCAATTTTGATAATTCCTTAATTGTTTGAAACTTCTAAAATTCATAATTTTGCCTAAAAAACTCCAAATCAAGCAAACTTAAAGCCTAATTACTCCCCTTAAGGCCTAATATTTAATTAAAATGCTAGAACCCCCAAACCTATCCCATTTTTCATAGTGACCTTTTGGACCCCCTTTACCTAGCGTATAGGACTATGGACCTTCCAAAATTGGATAATATAATTTGAACTTCAAAGATAACTACCCTAAGTATTAAAATCGATCCACAAACTAAATTAACTAAAAACATATCCCAATCCATTAATATTTAAACTTTAATTAAAGTTTCCCTTTTTGGCCTTAAAAAATTTCAACTATAGGCAATTTAAACTAACTACCCTATATAAGACATATCCAAAGCCACACAAGTCTACTACATACACGTAGATTTGCCAGGGCACCACTTCTAACTTTAGAATTAGGGCCAGCATTTACTTTTTTATGTTTCTGTGACGTGATGATATTATTTGTGGCACGTGTGTTGTTTGCCTTGATTGATTTGTCATGATAATTGTTTATTTTTATTAATGTGTTTTATATACTTTGATTATGCTATGATGTGTGTGTTAGATTGCCCATGGGTTAAGGCTGTTTAAATACTAATTCAATCTTATGCAGGTGGCCATGCTCATGCAGCGGTAATAAAGAGGGGGCAATAATCATTAAACTTTAAAACTGACGTTGTTATTTATTGAGTTGTGAAAGTCTCTAAAAGTTCGGCATTTCATACATAAGGTACCCAAAGAAAAAAAGAAAGTCTCCAACTCGGGGAATTTCTTATTCATTTAGGTACCCCCTTGGAGGACGAACCATGTGGAGCCCAAAAGAGATGATCCGAAGAAGAAAGATCCACTCGAAGACGGAGACTTGAAGATGAAATGCCCAGCTTTTAAGACTTGCATCATTTATTAGGATTAGAATCCATGATGTTGTCGATGGAGCCTTGCCACCATTACTTTTCTGCAGACCCTGAGTTGTATTAATACGGTACTTGCCGTGAACTTTCTCTTTACTTTTCTGGGTTTTATAGATTTATATTGATGTGTTTACTATTGATTACACAATAGAACGTACCTATTTTTTCTATGTTTCTTTCTTGTATGTGTGTGGTCTATTTTCGCTAGGCTCTCTAGAAATTATTTTTCTACTCGTAATCAAATTCAAAATTTTAAGAATTAAATAATTTATAAACCTAACAACTTAGGGAACTACCGGAATCGTCCGGGATCGCATGCATATCACTGCATGTCTTCTCCCTCCTTGTTATAAAAACTTCCCCGCCTGCGAGTAGAATCCGGATAATCTGGCCTATGAGGATGAGGTGCCGGACCTGGAGAAGCTTAGTCTTTTCAAAAAAATTATTTTTATATAAGCCTGTCTTTAAAATTCTAAGCATTCATGATTTGGATCTTTTAATTAGCATGCATTGCATTAGAAATAAATTTAATTAAATCTCTGATTGAATTAGCTCTATGAACATTCACCTTATATAAGTCCAGGACCAATACGGAAACTCTTTAGACGTCGGTCCTACTTCCAAAAATCAAACTACCTACAATCTTTCATAAAGACTGGACATCATAGATTTTACACGCTTAGGTGGTTAGCTGGCTTTCTTTTTCAGGCAGGATATAAGCCTATATTGCATTAGCTAGGATACTGGTGTTAGTGTTAATG